AATGTAAATATTAATATTAATGCAAATATAAATATTTAATGCAAAACTTGATTTTGTCCCAGAAGTCTCTTAAACTGTCCTCATTTCTTTTAATTCTGTTTTCTGTTCAACAGCAGTGATTTCCATTACTCTGTCTTCCAGCTCAGTGATCCATTCTTCTGAATCATTTATTCTGTTATTGATTCCTTGTAGTGTATTTTTCATTTGAGTTATTGTATTACTCATCTCTGTTTGGTTGTTAATTATAGTTTCTAACTCTTAATTTCTAATTTCTTACTCTATGCATCCATTCTTCTCCAGAGTTCCTTGATCATCTTTATGATGATTACTCTGAACTCTTTCTTCGGTAGATTGCCTATCTCCACATCACTTAGTTCTTCTTATAAAGATGTATCTTGTTCCTTCATTTGGAATATACTCCTCTGCCAGCTCATCTTGTCTAAGTTGCTATTTGTATTTCATGCATACAGTAGATCAGTTAACATTGCTTGACCTTGGAGAAGGCGTCGTATTGCATCTGAGCAGTGCACTCCGCTGTTGTCGCCCAAGCTAGAGGTTCCCCCTGAGAGGGCTGCATGCGTCGTCCTCCTGTGGCAGGGTGTGTGGGTGGTCCAGGAAGCTTGGTCGGGCTGTCGTATGGTTGGTTGCTAGACCCTGTCTTGTGCAGATTGTGCTGGCTGCTGTTTAGTAGGGCATGGTCGTGAAGTACCTGGTTATGGAATCCAAGGGAGGCTGGGGCTAGTGCTGGCTCACTGGTGGGCAGGATCAGGGTCCCAAACACTGAGGCTCTTGCCCACTCACTGGCAGGTAAAGCCAGACCCAGGGGTTAGTGCCCACCTACTGTCAGGCAGACCTGGTTCCTGGAGTCTGGCTGCAGGGCCCAGGGTTCCCAGAGCTCATTTCAGATCATTGTGGGGGAGGCAGATACAGTTGAATATGGGGACTAAGGTGTCTGGAGGTTGTGTTAGCCTGATAGTGATCACGCAAGGGCCAGCTAGTGCCAGGAAGGTCTGGTGTGTCTTGCAGGATTATAGTTTTCTTGCTTCTGGTATCTGCTCCCTGGTGAGTGAGGCTGGTCTAGAGGTTTGTGCAGGCTCTCTAGAAAGAGAGGCTGATGCCTGCCCACTGGTAGGTAGAGCTGGGTCTTGGCCCTCTGGGGGTCCAGACCCTGTCTAGGTGTATCCACAGGTGGCTGTGTGTCCTTTCGTCTTTAGGAAGCTTGTCTGCTGACAGGTAGGGCTGTGTTTCCCCCCAGTTAGTTGTTTGGCCTGAAGTGTCCCAGCACTGTCACATGGAGGCTGTTAGGTGGGGCCAGGTCGTGGCGCTAATGACCCAAGATATCAGCTGCCAAGAGTGTCCGTGCAGTTGAATGTTCCCCAATGTATCTGACACCAGTGTCTTTGTCCCCAGGGTGAGCTGCAGCCATTCTCTGCCTCTCCAGGAGACTCTCCAAGGCCAACAGGTAGATCTGGCCCAGGCTCCTACCAAATTACTGCTCTTGCCCTGGGTCCTTGTACACGTGAAATTTTGTGTGAACCCTTTAAGAGTGAAGTCTTTTTCTCCTAGTCTTGTGGGGCTCCTGCAATTAAGGCCTGATGGCCTTCAAAGCCAAATGCTCTGGAGGCTCCTCTTCCCAGTACTGTAACCTGGGCTGGGGATCTCGGTGTGGCGCTCAGGAGTCTCTCTGCTGTAGGAGAACCTCTGCAGTTTAATTATTCTCCCATGTGTGAGCCAACTCCCCGGAGGGTGTGAGATTTCACTATGTCACGGATCCACTACCTGTCTTGCTGTGGTTCCTTCTTACATCGTTCATTGTAGATCTTTTCTGATAGATTCCAGTCCTTTTCTATGATAGTTGCTCTGCAGACAGTTGTGATTCTGATACGCCTGTGAGAGGAGGTGAGCTCAGGGCCTGTCTACACCACCGTCTTCCCCACTGGTGTTTTGTACCCCCGTGTCAATAAGTCACCGCCCCTGAGAAGAGGGGGGACTGCAACTTCCCAGGTGAGGCAGGAGGCTCCAGTTCAGCCATAGGCCAGTCTCCAGAGAAGGGGCCACCTGTGAGCTGTTAGCACCAAAACCCAGGGCAGCTGGAAGACAGATGTGCCAGCCTGGTGACAGGGTCTGGGTAGACACGGGCAGAATCCATTGCCCTGCGTGAACCACTCAGACCCATGTTCTCTTCACACTGTTCACTCCATTCAGGCCTAGCTTCTCCAAGATGCTGACTGGTCATGATTTCTGGGGAAACTTACAGGAGGAGGGTCAGTGGGACAACCTGTAGCCCTGGATGCCGTCTCGAGTCTCCTCACCCACTCTAGCTCCCCCCGCCCCGCCAGCCGACTCTCCTGTTGGTGCAGGTGGCTGGGCCACCCGGACCAGCTTACTCGTGGGGTAAGCCTTTATTCCTGTGCCCTCAGCAGGATGTGGCTTGGCCTCTGTACTTAAAACTGGGCAGGAGAGCGCCAAGTGAGCCCCTCCGTGGACTACCTAAGTCCCAGACGTATTCTTCCCTGCCCCCGTGTAGTAACCGCCTCACCCCAATGATGCTCCTCAGGTCAGGTACCTCTGCCGGTAGCACACCTCTTTTCTGTGCCTCCGACCTGTCAGCATGAAGAGTCCTGTGATCAGATGCTGCCAAAGCTTTAAGTTTGCGGAGACTCCACGGTCTCACTCGGTGAGAGGCATTCCTTCTCTGACACCGAATACCTGTAGACCAACAGAGCCTAAAGACAGAGAGAGAGAAGGTACAGATTCTCCAGGAGGGTGAACAGGGAGGGAAGCCGTTCCTGCGTCCTCCCTTCTGTTCCCAGATCACTGTTACAAACACAGTAGCCTGTGACAGCCATTGGTTTAAAGTCCACACCATGTCCTGAAGAACGGCTCGCCATGGTCACAGGACATGGTTGACCAGCTAACGCCTCAGCTGTGCCTTCAGAAAGCCTATCAGGTGCGCACCCTCTGAGGACAAATATGCCGTGCGTGGTAGAACCAGTGGACACCTGATCATGCCCTCACTGCTATACTCCTCTGCTGTAAAGTAGATTCGTTTATTATTCATCAGGACCTCAGGTCGATCCACCAGTTCCTCTGAGCCCTCAGACAGTGGTGCTGGCCACAGCCCTGCAGGCAGGAGATACAGACTGTAGGATACACGTCAGTTCTGGTAAGGATGGCATACTGCCCTTTCTGCCCTTTCCAAGGTTTGAGGGACCTGATGTAATCTGTTTGCCATCAAGAGTCTGGTTGATCTCCTTGGATGGTGCCATATCAGGAGCTCAGCTTTGGTCTCTATTGCGAGCAGATCAGACACTCAACAGAAACAGTCGCTCGGTGACCCTGGGCACAGGGAAATGGTGCAGGCAGACCCATGCATAACTCCACGGGAACAGCCATGTCAGAGGCTAGGCCAAGTCATCCTGTCTGCTGCTTAGGTGCTCTGCTCAGCCAGGGCTCACGAGCATGACAGGAACTGTCTTGCAGATAGTATAGTGACCTGCTGCAGGTGGCATGGCTTAAGGGATTGTAATACAGCTTTCCCTTTGAAACTGGCCAGAGGTTTCACAAGAGTCTACCACAATTTTTCTATACCACAACTTCTTCTAGTATGAAATCTGCTAAGTCACTTCACCCAAGGAGCAAGCGGCTTGTGCCCCGCTCCCAACTGACTGCAGAGCCCTTTCTTGCTCTGGGCCCTTCTTAAAAACAAACAAACAAAACAGCCTCTGTATCACATAATAAATGATTCAGATTATTCCTCCTGAGTGGAACATGCTGCCTCCAAAACGTCAAGAGACGTACCAAGCTTTATGCTTCTTTCATAGTGATAAGAAATGCAAGGTACATTAATTTGTGCTTAAAAAGATGTCCTGACATGCTCCATATCTCCAGACACCTACAAACAGAGTGTCAAGCCCTGAATTGCTTCTGGGGTTTCCCTCTTAACTTTCTGAAGTACCTCTGTCTTTCCGAGCCTTCAGCATGCTTACCAGTTCTTGGTCATCATGTCTTAGCACAACGCTCGTGTTACTATATCTGCAGTCTTTGGAATGTCCAGCTGATCCAGGCTCCTCCAGAGTGTATTATGACAGCATCGTTAGCATAAAACGTCATGTTGGGGCGAGAACGCGGATGTGTACTGTTGTCTGTCCCAGAAGAATGCTAGCTACTTCTGACCTTCCTCCTTAGTATTAAAAAGAATGTATATGCCAGATCAACAGCAGCGTCCCACGCCCCCAGACTGCCATATGCTATTGGAGTGAAGACGTGGTACCTGGCCCGGCAGCTGCACTGGGGCTGGCCCGTGAGCTGGCTGCACGCCACCGCCCTCCGCCCCAGTCCATACACCCCTGCCAGAGACCAGGCTTATGGACTAGGTTCCCTGTAAGAGTTCACCTGCATTCAGATGGTGGACTCCTCTTAGGCTTTATAAAAACCCCAATTCTCCCAATAAAAAGTTGAAGAAGAGCCTGGGGGTGCTGCAGAACTAAAAAACAAAAGTAAAAATTTCCCCAACTTATTTTTTTAAGTAACCTAAAACATTAATTTTGAACGAAGCACTGTAAAATTATCTATCATTGCTCTTTATTCCTCAGTCACACATTTTGTGTGTGTGTAAATAAGCACTAGACAGGTCACAGTTAACTGAGCACTTCCACACCACATGAAGGGTGCAACCCAGCACTTGTCACTGAGGTGATCTCAGCTGCAACTGGACAGACAATATTTAGCCTCCTACCAAACATCATGCCTTTATCCCGCCTCACCTGGCTAACTGCAGGCAGCCATGAGCCCCCTTTTTAAGCCAGTTTTTAAATTCATTTCTTAAGGACCTCAGTAGCAGTGACTGCGTTACACTGGTGTAGAGTTCAGCTTAGGATACGTTTTTCATTCAGAGCTGCAGTGTTTGACAGTTGGTCAGGGGTGAAGCATACCAAGAAATGCGAAGATTGTAAAAGGTCTTGTGTTCCTCATCTAACTTTTCCTTCTTCTTTCTTTAGTCTCTCCCAGATATATCCTTCCCGGCTTCTTTGGCCGCACAGCATTTCCTTCTGGAGGAGGAGAAGCGAGCAAAAGAACTTGAAAAACTTCTAAATACACATATTGATGAACTGCAAAGACACACAGAATTTACTCTTAATAAATACACCAAGCTAAAACAAAATAGACACATATGAGCTTTTAAACGTTTTTATTTGCTTCCCCCACCCCAGGAAAACAAAGCTCTGGCACAATATTTACAAAGTTGATTAATGAAACTGAGAAATTTTGTTCTGTTTTCTTGAGTAAATCATTTCTGTAAGGCAGCTAGAAAATAGTAAGTATTTTGTTTGATAAAGCTCTTTGTATTTCTGTATTAACATAATAAATTGTTCAGCTACAGTTACTATAAAATAAACATGACTACTCCAAAAGAGAATTTTTCCCTCCAGTCTAAGGAATTGTTTGGAATTAAATATGCAGCTTTCTCCCACTTTAGTCATGTGTATGGGAGCCCATTTCCTCTGTAACATCACATGATGAGGGAAAGGGCTTTACTATATTCTAAGTATAAACAGATGAAGTGCAGCTCCATTGTGCTAGGTTTGAAAATTCAATGATTTTTTTTTAATGAAAAATATTTAGTATTTTAAACTATGTAAATATCCTAAAATTTCTTTTAGAAAAAACCATATAGCTTACTGTTTCTGCATTCATCTTTGTAATGTCTTTCTGTTTTAACACAAAAAGATGTGGAACATACTGTCTGCATGCTTAAAACATGTGCCTAAGATTAATGCTTCATGTACTAATTACTCCATGGACATAAGATAAAGTAGAAAGCACTGCTGTACCTTCTCCTTTGTAATACCTCTGTTTTAAATATAATAAAGGAATGAGAAACTCTTTGAACTTAAAATGCAAATGCTGCATCTGTGTAGAAGAGTAATAGCATGGTAGTGAACAATAAAACTCAAGTTACAAATAAACAAGTGTGATAATCCATTTTTCTTTCTTTAAAAATGACATTTATATAAAGATTATGAAAAATCCTTGTTTCATTATTCCAGGTAAGCCCTACAGCTTTTATAGTGTTATTTTTCTCTTTGAAGAAACTGAATCTCCACACACAGAGAGATAAGTCACGATGTCCTTTAGATGAGTGTCATTGCCATGGGAATGCAGAGCCCTGTTCACTTCAGTGACACAGCCACGTGGATTTGTAGAGCTCTTGATATTTGCAAAAAGGCTTCACAGAGAATTATTTATCTCTACCCAGAACAAGCCTGGGAAGTCAGCAAGGCTAGTATCCTTGTTCCTGGGACTCAAGCTGTTAAGAACTTACTATGGAATCATGGTGAGTAAGAGAGAAACGCCAGCCTCTGACTCCCGGCTCTGCCTTTACCACTTTCCAGCATCACCTCTTGTGAGCATGCAGGTGGTGAGTAGCGCTGTGGCCGCAGAAACCACATTTCACAACAGAACATCGCAGGTACAGAGTTCCACGTGAGGAAAACAACCCGCGTTATCATTCCTTAGACTACTGAGTGATTTCTATCCTGGACACAAAGGGTATTTTTCAGTGTTATCTTTAGAAGATGGGAAATGTTATCTTTAGAAGAGGCAAAGAAAATTTGTGTTTAGGAAAACAACAGTCCATGGGCAAATTCTAAAACCTTTATATCCCTAATACAAATGCAAACAATGCAAAAATTTAAAACATGCTATGTCTGAATGCCATTTCATTCTCTTCAGGGTTAACACATGATTGGAAATTGCATCCGGAAACAAAGATCTAGATGACAATTATCTTAAAATTTAACCGAGTCAAGGGGCTTCCAATGTGGCTCAGTGGTAAAAAAAAAAATCCGCCTGCAATGCAGGAGTCTCAGGGTTTGATCCCTGGGTTGCAAAGTTCCCCTGGAGAAGGAAATGGCAACCTGCTCCAGCATTCTTGCCTGGGAAGTCCCAGGGACAGAGGAGCCTACAGTCTATGGGGTCGCAAGAGAGTTGGACACGACTGAGGGTGCACACACTCACGACAGAGTCAAGAGCATGAACGTGGAGGTGTCCAGCACTGACGGTGCCCTTGCCTCTCCAGATCATTTTGTCAAGTCCACAGGCAAACTTCTGTCTTTGCCTTTGTTTTTTGTGTTTTTTATTGGAGTATAGTTGCTTTGCAAAGCAAGCTTCTTTTAAATCACTATTTCAGCTTTCCTCTTCATACCCAGTTTCTTAAAACAGTGGTTTTCAATGGGTTTATGCTTAACAGCAGGATTCAACATTCAAAAGAAATCATAGGCTGAGGCCCAACACATACACTGTTGAGATAAAAAGCAAGCAGCTCTGGTTGAACATTGAAAGGAGAGTGCTGAGGCCTGCCTGCTGCTCCACCTGTCGCCTCCCTGCTCTCCTCCCCTCCCCAACCCCTTCTCCTGCCCCTCCCCCCTCTGCCCTCCCCTCCCCCTCCCCCGCTCCCCAGATCCAGGAGGCCACCAATTGCCCCAGGTGTTGCTGTGGGAGGGAGTGAACAAAAGGCAGAGGTCCTGTTATTACATCAGCAAAGAGTAGTTATAACCTCCTTTGTGTGATACCGACAAAATTCCGTAAAGCAATTATCCTTCAATTAAAAAATAAATAAATTTAAAAAATAATAAAAGGAAAAGGCTAAACCAATATTAAAAAAAAAAGTCTGTTTAGCCCATGATTGAGCTACAACATGATGGAGAAGGCAGAGGAGGGCCACAGGCCTGTTGGTCCTTTAATGGACCGGAAGCTGGTGGTCCAGAGTCGACGATAAGAAAGTAAGAGAGAAAGAGGCTGATAGCGCTTGTTGGTCCTTTAATGGACCGGAACCTAGTGGTTCCGAGAGTAAGAGAGAGAGAGGCTGATATCCCCTGGTTTACGCGGGAAGCCAGTGGAGTGCTGTTCTCAGGGCTCGCGCTGCTGCACGTGGGCACCAGGCGCCCTCTCGAGTGGGTGAAGGCGCAGTGCGCCTTCTGAGGGGCTGAGAAGCCTGGGCAAGAAAGTGAGCTCAGCGGGCCTCGCGCTCCAAGGAATTAGCCACAAAGAGAGAGAGAGAGAGAAGGAATAGAAAGAAAGAGACACGGGGACCAAAGCTCTGATGGAGCAAAGATGTTTTAATCAACATGGCGTGGGCATATATACTGTCTTACAAGGTGGTTATTCTCAGCAAAGACAAAGATTAAAATTCCAGACTTATGAAACATAAGATGATCCCTATCAAAGAGAGAGAGTTGCAAACGATAGCCTTTTACCATTTGGCTCATAAAAAGGAAGAGGGTACTTATCACTGTGATGAGAAATGCCTGGATTCCTCAGCCCCGGGAAAGGCGTGCCTCTCCTTTTAATTCCTGGATATTCAGGAATCAGTAAGGGCCAGAGGGTTCCTGACAGATCCCAAACAGCACACAGGAAGCCTCTTGTTAAATGATTTCTGACACAGGCCGTCTGAGGAAGACCCATCAGGCCGTCTAATGCTGGGAATCACCTCCAAGAGGAGGTGGGACTTGAGTTAACTTTGGCCTCGCAGTGGGCCAGATATATATTTTTACTTCTTAACTGATTGTGCATACGTGTTCAGTCATGTCTGACTAACTCTTTGTGACCCCATGGACTGTAGCCCGCCAGCCTCCTCTGTCCATGGGCTTCTCCAGGCAAGGATACTGGAGTGGGTTGCCATTTCCTTCTCCAGGGGATCTTCCCGACCCAGTAATCAAACCCATGTCTCCTGCATTGCAGGTGGATTCTTTACCACTGTGCCACCTGGGAAGCCCTTACTTTTAATTATCCAGGAGCAAACTGGTTTGAGAATTGAGCAAATTTGAGGGAGTGGGGGCTGCTGGAAAAACACAGATAACGCCCACGCTTCCGTTAACATGATAGCCAACTCTGGGTCATGTCCACAGTGCTGCTCCAGCTCAGCGGAGGACACGGTCCTGAGACGCTGCCCTCCGCTGTGGGAGTGTCTCTCGGCACCTCGCTCCCTAAACAGAGGCCTGCCCTGTGGTGGGTTTGTCTGGATCCCTGCACTGTCTCCGCCATGCTTAACCTGACTGCATGCTGTGGGGTTATCCTCTCCCCATCCCATTCGCTCAGGGAATGTACATTTCCTCCTTACATTTCCTCCAGTCTCTCCAACTGGCCTGAAAGCTCCTGGAAAAGAGAAGTAAAGCGCCTCTGTGCCTCCTCTGTGCACCCAGCACAGGTCTTGGTCATGGCAGGTATTTGAGAAGTAGTGATTAAAGGGTGCAATGAATCCAGACATGGGGAACGCAAACGTAAAAAGCAGAGGAAGTTTGAGGCAGTTTAGATACGAGACAAACTCCTAGCCACCTCAGACTGTCAGCTGCATGAAGGAGCACAGCACTGTGAATGGGTCTGAATGCTGGTGGGTGTGGGAGACTTGACTCATAACCAGCCTCACACAGGACCAGCTGAGCATCTGCATACTCCTCTTACACGTGTTAACTAATGCCTCATAGGAATCCAGTAAAGAACAAAAGGAACCATTACAACCCCAGGAATGCAGTAGTTGTGAGAGGGATTTGGGCCCAGCTAGCACCTGAAGCTGTCTCACTGTCTAACCCGTAGCCTGGAGCATCACCCAGAGCTGAACCCTAAAGGGTAAAGCATTCCAATCTGATGAAAGGCTCTTCTCAGAGAGGATGTGCTGTGGCCTAAGGACGATAATGCATGGACCATGGGCTGAGGGAAAAGCCTGAGGAAACGTGAACTTCAGGTTCTCCCAAGGCAGGTGTGAGGCAGAACACTGGCCTGAGGCACAGAAACCCAGTGAGCAGTGTTGAGAGGCTCCCCACCACACGTCACCATCCTCCAACATGAGTCAAAAGGGGTCGCAGTGGCTCATATAGCCCAGCAACAACCACAACAACAAACCACAGACAACACAATCAAAAACAAACACAAGACCTAAATAGAATTTCTCCACAGAAGACATACAAATGACCAACAGGCACGTGAAAAGATGCTCAACATCACAGATTATTAGAGAAATGCAAATAAAACCACGATGAGGCATCACCTCACACCTGTCAGAATGGCCATCATTTAAAAATCTACAAATAATAAATGCTAGAGAAGCTGTGGAGAAACAGGAAACCTCCTACACTGTTAGTGGGAAGGTAAATTGGTGCAGACACTATACAAAAAAGTATGGAGGTTCCTTAAAAGACTAAAAATAGAGTTATCATATGATTCAGCAGTCTTACTCCTGGGCATATATACAGAAAAGACAAGACAAAAACTCTTAGTTCAGAAAGATATAAGCACCCCAGGGTTCATAGCAGCACTGTATTAGCAAAGACATGGAAGCAACCTAAATGTTCATCAAAAATGAATGGACAGAAAGATGTGCTTTACACACACACACACACACACACACACACACACAGAGTGGAATACTACTCAGTCAAAAAAAGAAATAATGCCATTCGCAGTAACATGGTTGAGCCTAGAGATTATCACACTAAGTGAAGTAAGTCAGACAGAAAAAGACAAATACCATATCATTTATATGTGGAACCTAAAAATATGATACAAATGAACTTATTTACAAAACAAAAAAGACTCCCAGACATGGAAAACAAACACATGGTCACCAAAGGGGAAGGTGGTGGAGGGATGCATTAGTATGGGATTAACAGATACACACTACTATATATAAAAGAAACAGGAGCCGACTGTGTATCATAGGGAACTGAATTCAATATCTCGTAATAACCTAGAGAAGAATCTGAAACTAAGATAACATTTAAATCAGCTATGTGTGTGCGTGTGTGATCAGTCGCTCAGCTGGGTTTGACCCTTTGCGACCCTAGGGGCTGCAGCCAACCAAAATCAACTGTACTTCACTAAAAACAGAATTTGGCACCTCGTAAAAAGAGAGGGGTCATAGTCACAGTCTTTTTTTTTTTAATTTTCCAATTATTTTTATTAGTTGGAGGCTAATTACTTTACAATATTGTATGGTTTTTGCCATACATTGACATGAATCGGCCATGGATTTACATGTGTTCCCCATCCTGAACCCCCCTCCCACCTCCCTCCCCATCCCATTCCTCTGGGTCATCCCAGTGCACCAGCCCCGAGCACTTGTCTCATGCATCCAACATGGACTGGCGATCTGTTTCACACTTGATAATATACATGTTTCGATGCTGTTCTCTCAGATCATCCCACCCTCACCTTCTCCCATAGAGTCCAAAAGTCTGTTCTATACATCTGTCTCTTTTTCTGTCTTGCATATACGGTTATCATTACCATCATTCTAAATTCCGTATATATGTGTTAGTATACTGTATTGACAAGGAGAAACGTGAATCAGGGCCAGTCAGGCAATTACTGTCATGGTGAGCTACAATCTCATCACACAGCAGAACTGCCAGGTAGCCTGGAAGAGCGGGCCTCAAACAGCAACAGTTTCAGCAAGACCGAGTATAGAACAAAGAAGATGCTCCGAACAACCTAGCCGGCTCCACGAGCAGACTAGGAATTCTTAGGTTTTAAAGGGTCCCAGGACGTTTGGCCGGGTTAAATCTGCTGGACACAGGGGATTCTCCATGCCACAACCCCATGACCTTAACGAAGCTTCCATTTCCTTTCCTGTAGAACAGGCATCACACTACCACCTGTGTCAGAGAACTGTTATGAGATTAATTCTTAAAGCAGGCGGAAGCACAGAGTCTGGAAGAGTGAGTGTTAGTCGGTCAGTCGTGTCCAACTCTCTGCGACCCCGTGGACTGTAGCCCTCCAGGCTCCTCTGTCCATGGGATTCTCCAGGCTACAAAGATGAGTACTCAGTAAATGCTAGTTGTGAGCATTTACCATCCTCGGCCTCTTGAGGTATCAGGTCTGAGCTCAGAAGATGAAATACATCCCGAAGGAACCAGACAATCATTTATTGGGGACCATGTGCCAACTTCTGTAATATAAGCTCATTTTAATCATTACCAGTTCTATTAATAATTTACATACCATAAAATCCATCCATTTCAAGGGTGCAACTCAATGATTTTTACTAACTTTATGAAGTTGTCAAAACATCGCCACAACCCAGTGTTAGAACATTCCCATCATCTCTCAGAAGATCCCTAGTGCCCGCTTGCTATCACTCCTTCCCAGGCCCAGCTGCAGGCAGTCACTAAACTACTTTCTGTCCGTATGATTTACCCGGATATTTCATATAAATGCACTCAGATACTCTGTGGGTTTTTACATCTGGTTTCTTTCATTTGGTATATTTTTGTGGTTCATATGGTAGCATGCATTGATATTTTGTTCTTTTCATTGTTGTTGAATTGTATTCTGTTGTATTGACAAACCACATTTTCTTTAACCACTGTTTCACTAGTTGATGGCTATTTGAGTTGTCTCCAGTTCAGGGCTGTTATGAATGAAGCTATTAAGAACACTTACATACAGGTCTGTGTGTGAATATGTCTTGTTTTTATTGAGTACATTCCTATGAGCAGGTTTCTGATTCACATGGTAAATGTATATTTAACTTTTAAAAGAAACTTATCAAATTATTTTCCTAAGTAGCTACCATTTTCTTACCAGCAAGGTCTAAAGGTTCCAATTTCTCCATATCCTCTCTCATATCCTCTCTCTTTTCGGTGACAGCCATTTCACAAGTGTGTGAAGTGGTATTTCAGGCTAGTTTTAATTTGCATTTCCCTATGACTAACCATGTGAGCATCTTTTGTGGGCTTATTGAACATTCATATATCTTTTTTGGTGACATCTTTTCAAACCTTTTGCCAAGTTATAATCAATTCCCCTTTTACTGAGTTATAAGAATTCTTTCATATTTTGGATACAAGTCCTTTATCACATACATGATTTGCAGATATTTGTTCTAGTCTGTGGCTTCTGTTTTCATTTTCTTAACAGTGTCCTTTGAAGCACATAAGTTCTTAATTTTGATGTAGTACAATTCATCAATTTTTTCCATAAAGGATTGTGTTTTTGGTATCATATATAAGAAATATTTGTTCCACTCAACATCACAAATATTTTCTCCTACATTTTCTTCTAAAGGTTTTATAGTTTTAAGTTTTATACCAGGTTTATGATCCATTTTGGTTTAACATTTTTGTATAGTATAAGGGTCTAGATTCATTTTTTACATGCAGATTGATATCCCACTGTCTCAGCACCATTTGTTGAAAAGACTATTCTTTACCCTATTGAATTGTCTTGGTACGTTTTGCTGAAAAATCAACTGAATATAAATATAAGGCCTTATTTCTAGACTCTTAATTCTTTTCCATTGATCTATGTGTTTATTCTTATGCCAGCACCACATAGTCTTAATTATTGCTTTGTAGTATTTTTTTATATTGGGAAGTGTAAATCCTCCAGCTTATAAGATTGCTTTTGCTATTTTGGGCCTTCTGTATTTCCAGGTAAGTTTTAGCATTAGCTTGTCAGCTTTTTAGTTTTTACCTGCCGTCTCCCCCAAAAAAAATCCTGCTGGAATTTTTGATAGGGGTTAAAATGACAATTCTCTCCAAATCAACCAGTATTGAATCTCAGTTTATGGAGAATTACCAGCTTAATGATTGAGTCATCCAAGCAATCAGTGAACATAAAATACCTCTCCATTTATTTCCATGCGTGCTCAGTTGTGTCCCACTCTTTGTGACTCCGTGGACTGTAGCCCACCAGGCTCCTCTGTCCATGGGATTCTCCAGACAATACTGAAGGGGGTTGCCACTTCCTCCTCCAGGGGAATCTTCCTGCACAAGAATCGAACCTGCTTTTCCTGCCTCTCCTGCATTGGCAGGTGGATTCCTAACTGCTGAGTCGGATCTTTTTAGTTTCTCTTAGAAACACTGTACAGTTTTCAAGGTGTAAGTCTTGAGTTCTTTTGTTACATTTATTCCTTTATTCTCTCTGTTACTATTGTGAATGAAATTGTTTTAATTCTGTTATTGTATTATTCATTGCTATTACATAGAAATACGGTCGATTTCTGTGCATTAATTTTGCCATCTGTGACCCTCTGAGCTTATTTACTCACAGTGTGGTTTCTTAAAATTTCCTACATAAAGATCATGTTGTCTTTAAATAAAGATAGCTTTTACTTCTTCCTTTCCTTTCTGGGTGCATTTTCTTTCTTTTTCTTACCTGATTGCACTCACTAGAAACTCCAGTACTCCAACTAGAAGTAGTGAAAGCAAATTGTTTGCTGTGTCCCTGAGCTTATGAAAAACACTTCAGCCTTTTACCATTAACCATGATGTTGGTTGTTGGCTTTTTTCTTTTTTTGTATGTGCTTTTTATTAGGTTAAGGAAGTTCCCATCTATTCTTGGTTTGTTGAAAGCTTTTATGATTGGACATTAGATTTTGTCAAATGCATTTTTTAAAATCTATTGAGGTGATCATGTGGCTTTTGTTCTTTATTAATATAGTATGCTGGGCTTCCCTGCTGGCTCAGTTGGTAAAGAATCTGCCTGCACTGTAGGAGACCTGGGTTTGATCCCTGGATCTGGAAGATTCCCTGGAGAAAGGAAAGGCTACCTGCTCCAGTATTCCTTGCCTGGAGAATTCCATGGACAGAGGAATCTGGTGAGCTACAGTCCACAGGGTTACAAGAGTCATACACAATTTAGCAACTAAACCACCACAATATAATATCGTATATAAACTTGCTTTAGGATGAACCAATCTTGCATTCTCGGGATAAATTCTACTTGATCATGAAGTACTTTTTTCACATGTTTGCTGTATTCAGTTTCCTAACCTTTTGTTGAGGATTTCTGTGTCTATATTCATAAGCAACAATGGTTTACAGTTTTCTTGCCATATCTTTTCTGGCTTTGGTATCAGAGTAATTTTTTACATCATGAAACAAACTGGGAAGTCTCCTTTAGTCTTCTCTTTTCCGGTAGAGTCTGTAAAGGACTAGCACTGCTTCTTCAGTTATCTGATGGAGTTCACTGCTGACGCTGTCTAGGCCTGGGCTTTTTGTGGGAACATTTTAATTTTTAATTCAGTGTTTTTCCTTTTTATAGATCTGTTCCAGTGTTCTATTTCTTCTTGAGTCAGTTTTGATGATTGTTGCTTTTTATGTTCAATGTAATCTTTATAATCATCCCTCAAAGTAAGAATGCTGCTGCTGCTGCTGCTAAGTCGCTTCCATCGTGTCTGACTCTGTGCGACCCCATAGATGGCAGCCCACCAGGCTCCTCCGTCCCTGGGATTCTCCAGGCAAGAACACTGGAGTGGGTTGCCATTTCCTTCTCCAATGCATGAAAGTGAAAAGTGAAAGTGAAGTCGCTCAGTCATGTCTGACTCTTCACGATCCCATGAACTGTAGCCTACCAGGCTCCTCCATCCTTGGGATTTTTTAGGCAAGAGTACTGGAGTGGGTTGCCATTTCCTTCTCCACAAAGTGAGAATAAGAATAAGGCCTGCTTTACTTTGAACTGAAAAGACTGAGTGATTTCTCTCAAGGTCAGATATCTGGAACGTGACCAGTCAATGGAGCTGCAAAGTCCATGCTGCTTCTACCAGGCCACGCTGCCCCAAAGCAGATGCTCATCAGGGTCGCCACTGAAATGACCTTATGTATCTGTGGAAGCCCTGGTCCGTCCAAGTCTAGGGTTTTTTAGTCAAAGACATGTGACTCCCTGGAGTTCAGTTGCTGGCAGTAGGGATGCTGCCCACAGCCTAGGGTTCTCTTTCTTCAAAACCCCATCAAGGGTCTCCGCCTCAGACGTTCTACCCAGTGTGATACTCTCAGGTAAACTCAAGGGTCCAGTGCTTTGGTCACCTGACGTGACGAGCCGACGCACTGGAAGAGACCCTGATGCTGAGAAAGACTGAAGGCAGGAGAAGGGAATCACAGAGCATGAGATGGTGGGACGGCGTCAGTGACTCAATGGACATGAGTCTGAGCGAAATCCAGTAGATGGTGAGGGACAGGGAAGCCTGGCGCGCTGCAGTCCACAGGGTCACAAAGAGTCGGACACGACTGAGTGACCGAACAACAATAAAACTGTGGGGAAGACACCCGGTGACAGAGGCCGCACCTAACAATTCAAAGTGATGCCCCCTGCTCTCCCTGCAAAGGATGTAAGGGGCTAGACTGAACCACACTTGTCTTGACAGTGATAGGTGACAACTGATAATCAATATTCCTGCTAGCTTAAGAGAAGCCTGATATGTGGCTTCCTGAACTTTGTTTTCTCATGCAGAAACGATATGGTTGCTCTCCTCATGGGAAGAACCATCAGTGATAAAATGTACTGGGCTCTGTGTGCTTCACAGAAAATAAAGGATGAGGCTTCTCCCTTATCTGGTCAACATGTCTTTTATCAGGTCTAATGAATCTCCTGAAAGATTATTATATAAGATGAGGCCAAAGGGCCCATGCTAAGTAGATGCTATGTTGTATTTAGGACTTCCCTGATAGCTCAGGTAAAGAATTCGCCTGCAATGCAGGAGACCCTGATTCGATTCCTGGGTCAGGAAGATACACTGAAGAAGGGATAGGCTACTCACTCCAGCAATCTTGGGCTTCACTGGTGGCTCAGCTGGTAAAGAATCCACCTGCAATGCGGGAGACCTTGGTTCGATCTCTGGATTGGGAAGATCCCCTGGAGAAGGGAAAGGCTACCCACTCCAGTATTCTGGCCTAGAGAATTCCATGGACTGTATATGTTGTATTTAAGGTGCACACAACAGATCTCTATCAGAAAATTGTATACATTAAAGCAATAAAACAGAAAAGAACTGAGCTAACATTCTTCCCATTTTGGTATGATTTCTTTGTTGTTGTTGTTTGTTTCTGAAGACAAGAACAGCTTTGAAATTCCTCATATTCATCAGCTATAGAAAGATCTTCCAAAAATCAGTACTGTTTGATTTCAAACCATTACAAATCCCAAATATATCTCTTGACTGAGATAAATTATTTGATGAGTCATTCCCAAATGACTTTGATGGATAAAAGTAACCAAACTAAAACAGCTCTTTAGCTTCAGTTGCTACATAAAAAGTTTAGAACCAAAAGTTTTTTTATTAATAAGAGTTGCACCCAAGAAAATCTCGGGAGAAAAAACATGTATACATATGTGTGTGTACATGTATGTATATGTAAGCAACATATACATACTTACATATACACACACTTGAAGCTCTGAAAATAATCAATTAATAATAAATAGAGAGGGAGAAAACTTTTAGAGGTGACAGAGATATTAATGGCATAGGTGATTTAACAGATGTATCATTGTTGTTGTTTGTTGCTGTTTAGTCACTAAGTCATGTCTGGCTCTCTGCGACCCCATGGACTATAGCCCACCAGTCTCCTGTGTCCATGGGATTTTCCAGGCAAGAGTACTGGAGTGGGTTGCCGTTTCCTTCTCCAGGGGATCTTCCTGACCCAGGGATCGGACCCACATTTCCTGCACTGGCAGGAAGGTTTTTCACCACTGAGCCACTTGGGAAACCCTCACAGGTGTATACATATCTCCAAATGCATCCAGTTGTATACGTTAAACATATAGTTTTTATATGTCAATCATATTTCAATACGGTGGTTTACAAAAATGAACGTGAATCAAAAACAGTCTCAGAGCTTAGAAAATTTAGTTTTAGTCACTATTGTGAATATTAAAAATATGAATACGTAAGGAAATAAAGGATTTAATGGCCAAACATAACAGCTTCATTTTGGAGAAAATGCCCTGATTTCATTGAAGACACTATGCTAGATGCATAAGGCACTCCAAATTTTGGGTCTTCTGTTTAAGTCACCCAATTTATAACACTTTGGTACAGGAGCCCAGGCGAACACTTACTTGGAGCTGAAAAAGCTGACAACCTTGAAAGAGGAAAGGGCCCAAACAAACGAACAAACAAAAAAACCAGCAGAGCCTGCTCTCTCTACACAGAAGACAAAGCAAGGGGCAGCAGAGAAAAGCAGAAACCTTTTAGACAACAACACTCACTCAGTCACACACCAAGAACTGTGTCCCCTCCCCAGCCACACCAGCAAAGGTGGACAGAGCTCCTAGATTTCCAGCCTCGACCCAAAGCCTGCATCAAAGTGCTGTCCGGAAGGCTGAGTAGGACAGCAAGACAGAAGCACTTTCATCCCTGCCAGGAGGGGAGAAGGCGTCACCCCTGCAGTCCCAGTGGGGATAGCAGAGGAGGTGATAACAAGACATCCCTTCCCCTCTCCACTGCGGGCGTCTGTGAGGTCTAGCGGAGAGGCAGGATATTAACCACAGCTGAGGGGTAATGAGGTCCTCCTCCTTTGCCCCACAATGGGGAGCGAGTCCATGGAGGAAGCAGTAATGAGGCACCCTGCCCCCCTCAGCCAGGGTGGTATCAGTACAGACTACTGGGGGCCAGAACTCCCCCCATCCAGCAGTAATGAGGAGCCCCTCATTACTTCCACTACCATCTGCAGGAATGCTGCTACACCCCATCTGACATTGTCAGAATAGGCCTTCCAAAACATAAAATTTAGATAACATCCAGAATCTCAGAATACAATGCCCCAAATATTCAAACTCACTTGTCATACCAAGAACCAGGAAGACCTCAGCTTGAATGAGGAAAGACAGTCAGTGCAGGACACTGAGATAACATGGATGTCAGAATGAGTCCACAAAGGTTTCAAGCTGCCATCATAAAATGATTCAGCAAGCAATCAGAAACATAATGGGGGAAGAAAATATGGAAAGTTTCAGCAAAAAAAATAGAAGATGCAAAGTAAAACTGAGTGGAAATCTCAGAATTGAAAAACACAATATCAAATCAACACTCAGTGCAGGAGCTCAAGCAGAATGGAGGAGACGGAAGAAACAATCAATGAACAGTAGAGGCTACCCAGCTTGAACACCTGGGCTTCCCAGGCGGCGCAGGGGCAAAGAACTCGATACAGGGGACACAGAGACGCAGGTTCACCCCTGGGTCGGGAAGATCCCCTGGAGAAGGAAATGGCAACCCACTCCAGGATTCTTGCCTGGGGAATCCCATGGACAGAGGAGCTTGGCGGGCTATGTGACCCTGGGGGTCACAAAGAGTCACTGAGCACTACTGTTACCATTAACCTGAAAAACAGAAAAAACAGAATGATAATTAAAATCTACCAGCTAAAATTAAAATAAATTAAAAAATGAAAAGAGTAATGTGGAAACCTAAATTACCATATGTAAAATAGATAGCCAACGGGAATTTGCTGAGTGGCTCAGGAAACTCAAACAGGGGCTCTATCAACCTAGAGGGGTGGGATGGGGAGGGAGATAGGAGGGAGGTTCAAAAGGGAGGGGACATATGTATACCTAGGGCTGATTCATATTGAAGTCTGACAGAAAACAAAATTCTGTAAAGCAATTATCCTTCCATAAAAAAAAAATTAAAAAAAAAAACAAAAATAAACAAGTGAAACCTAAATAAATTCAAAAGCTTTTGCACAGCTAAGGAAACCATAAACAAAATGAAAAGACAACCCAGAAACTGGCAGAAAATATTTGCAAATGATTTTAACAACAAGGGATTAGTCTCCAAAATTTGCAAACAGCCCATGTGGCTCTATATATGAAAAAACGAACAACCCAATCAAAAAATGGGCAGACCTAAGTAGACATATATTCAAGGAAGACATCAGATGGCCAAAAAGTACATGAAAAGATGCTTAGCAACACTAAAAATTAGATGCAAATCAAAACTACATTGAGATATTACCTCACACCAGCCAGAATGGCTGTCATCACACACAATAAATGCTGGAGAGGGTATAGAGAAAAAGGAACCCTCCTACATTGTTGGTGGGAATGTAAATTGCTGAAGCCACTATGAAAAAAAATATAGAAGTCCCTTAAGAAACTAAAAATAGAGCTGCTATATAATCAGCAATCCCGCTCCTGGGCATATATCCAGAGAAAAACATAGTTTGAAAGGATGCATGCACCCCAATGTTCATTGCAGTGCCGTTTACAATGATCAAGACATGGAAGCAACCTAAATGTCCATTGACAAATGAATGGGAAAAGAAGATGTGGTACATACGTACAATGGAATATTACTCAGTCATTAAAAAGAAAGAAATAATGCCTTTTCAGCAACATGGATGAACCTGGAGATAATCATACTAAGTGAAGTAAGTCAGACAGAGAAAGACAAATATCATATGATATTGCTTATATGTGGAATCTAAAAAAAAAATGATGCAAATGAACTTATTTACAAAGGGGAAAGAGGCTCACAGACTTAGAGAACAAACTTGTGGTTACCAGGAAGGAAGGGTGGTTTGGGAAGGATAGATTGTGAGTCAGGGATTGACTTGTACAAACTGCTATATTTAAAACAGATAACCAACAAGGACCTATTTTATAGCACAGGGAACTCTGCTCAATATCATGTAACAATTTAAATGGGAAAGAACTTGAAAAAGAATAGATACATGTATATGTATAGCTGAATCACTTTGGTGTACACCTAAAAGAAATGCAACATTGTTAATTAACTATACTCCAATATAGAATAAAGTTATAACAAAATTTAAAAACAAATCTACCAGCTCTCAGGAACATGTAACACTGTAACAAGGGACCTAAGGGCTGCTTCTTTGGACTCTGGGGAGGACAGGGGAGAGAGGTTAGTACTGGAAAAGCTCTCAAAGAGATCTGCCTGTAAACCTCCTAAGGGTCTGAACAAGCCCACAGGATAAACCCAAGAAATCTGTATTGTTACACACACTGTTTATAATAGCCAGGACATGGAAGCAACCTAGATGCCCATCAGCAGACGAATGGATAAGGAAGCTGTGGTACATATACACCATGGAATATCACTCAGCCATTAAAAAGAATTCATTTGAATCAGTTCTAATGAGATGGATGAAACTGGAGCCCATTATACAGAGTAAAGTAAGCCAGAAAGATAAAGACCAATATAGTATACTAACACATATATATGGAATTTAGAAAGATGGTAATGATAACCCTATATGCAAGACAGAAAAAGAGACACAGATGTACAGAACAGACTTTTGGACTCTGTGGGATAAGGCGAGGGTGGGATGTTTCGAGAGAACAACATCAAAACATGTATATTATCTAGGGTGAAACAGATCATCAGCCCAGGTTGGATGCATGAGACAAGTGCTCGGGCCTGGTGCACTGGGAAGACCCAGAGGGATCGGGTGGAGAGGGAGGTGGGAGGGGGGATCAGGATGGGGAACACATGTAAATCCATGTCTGATTTATGTCAATGTATGACAAAAACCACTACGATATTGTAAAGTAATTAGCCTCCAACTAATAAAAATAAATGGAAAAAAAATAAAATAAAAATTATAAAATTAATTATACAAAAATGGAGCATGGGCTTAAATGTAAAGCTATAACATTTTAGAACAAAAACATAGGAAAAACCCCTAGACCTAGGGCTAGGCCAAGAGTTCTTTGATGTGAAAGAAAAGAATGTTCCACGCAAGGGAAAACGGATAAATTGGAAGTCATCAAAGACTAAAAACTTTTGATCTGCTAGGGGCCCTGTTTTGTTGTTGTTCAGTCGCTAAGTCGTGTCTGACTCTTTTGTGACCCCAAGGACTGTGGCCCATCAGGCTCCTCTGTCCACGGGATTTCCCAGGAGAGAATACTGAAGTGGTTGTCGTTTCCTTCTTTGAGAGATCTTCCCAATCCAGGGATTGAACCCAAGTCTCCTGCATTGGGAGGCAGGTCTAACTGCTGAGCCACCTGTGATGCCCCAAGGGCCCTTATAGGAGAATGAAAAAAGTTACCACCAGGAGAAAATATTTGCAAACCACATATGCAGAGAAGAACTAGCATCTGGAATGTGGACAAATGTCTCAAAACTCAACAGAAAAACAGGTTAAAAAATAAACAATCCAATTAGAATATGAGGAAAAGATATGAAGACACATTCATTGAATGGAATATACAGGTTGCAAATAAACATATAAAAAGATGTTCAACATGATTGGTCATTAGGGAAATGGAAATTAAAATCACAATGAGATATCACTACAGATCTATCAGAATAGGTAAAATTTTAAAGCAGTGACAACACAAAATGTTGGCAAGAACACACAGAAATTGGATCACATTGCTGGTAGCAAGGTAAAGTGGTACTGCAACTCTGGAAAACAGTTTGGCAGCCACCATACGATTCAGCGATTGCACTCCTCGGTGTTTATCCCAGAGAAGGACTTATGTTCACATACAAAAAGCTATACATGAATGTTCATAGCAGCCTTATCCATAACAGCCCCAAACTGGAAACAACACAGATGTCCTTCAACACGTGAATAATTTAAAATGGGGAAGTGGTTTCAGGGTACATCAATATCATGAAATAACCACTCAGCAATTAAAAAACGGGCAAACAATTAATTCAAATACAACCTAGAGGACACTCCAAAGAATTATGCTGAGCAGAAAAGTTAACCACAAATGGCTACATTTTTGCTATATAAAAAAATAACAAATACATGTGACAAGATCATGGAAATGGAGATCTGGTGAGTGGTTACTGTGGGACAGAGCAGGGAGTGAGGGCAAGAGGGAAGTGGGCGTCGCTAAAAAGCGGAGCAGAGCATCCTCTGGTCTCTGCTCTGTGTCTGGACCATGCCAATGTCAGTATCCCAGTTGAGCTAGGCCCTTGTTCTACGGGTTTGAAGAAGTCAATCCTGGGGAGAATGAGGTAGAGGGAACACAGGATCGCTCTGCATTACTTCTCACAACTGCATTTGAATCTGACATAATCTCAAAATAAAAGGCTTAATTTTTTAAATGTAGCTATTCTTAGCTCTCCATCTGTTCAAAAACAGGTGGTAGGCTGAATTTGGCCCACAGGCTGTAGTAGTTTATAGAGCTTAATGCAAACAACAAGAAACACTATACGTTCATTCAGTGGAGTCTTAGTTGTTAAAGCTGTAGAGAGATGTGGCCACAATTAGAGGTCTTAAAATGTGTCTTCATTGCTTTTCTAGATGGCAAGTGTCCATTCCCAAAGCTAACCTGAAGTGGATAGGAGCAGCAGATATGTAACCCCTCTGGTTTTAGAATCTTCAAAATCCTCTTTCTCTTATCATTGCTCTCATATCAGTATCACAAGCTCACTTTCCCCAGGTATATGCTGCCCCCGTTTTCCTACCTCCTGGATTTTCACTGCATCATGGACACAAGTGTGTGTTTTATTCAACTCTGGTGTGGGTCATGTAAATATGATCATTCTTTGAACAGGAGTTTTGTTTGAATTGCATAGACTGGTGTTCACTTTCTCAGTTTTTCCATTTCAATGTCAGTTTTGTCCACTGTGCAGCACACACACACACTTGTGTTAATTGTGTGAAAAAGCATCTGTGAGGGCTTCCCAGGTAGCTCAGTGGTAAAGAATCGGCCTGCCAATGCAGGAGACACAAGTTTGATCCCTGGGTTGGGAAGATCCCCTAGAGGAG